GGGGGGGGGGAGAACCTCTGTACCTGTGCTGGAGGGACGGGAGAGAGGGGGCTGCGCAGCCCCGGGCAGCTGGGGCGATGCTGGGCTGTGTGGTCCCCCTGGCCAGGAGCATGGTGTGACCTCCCTGTGCTCTTCCTTCCCAGCACCAGCAGCAGGTCCTGCAGGCTGTGGAGCGGGCCAAGCAGGTGACCATGGGGGAACTGAACAGCATCGTCGGGGTGAGTCCCGCTGCCCGGCCATGGGCGAAGGCTCTTTCCTGGTTGGGGGTTCAGACCACGCAGTCCAGTGATGGGGGAAGCCAGGGTCTTTACTACTTCGATAAGACCAGGGCTGGTCCCCTGCGGTGAGAGGGTTTGCCACTGTGTCCTGAAGGTGGTGGATGGCCTCTGGGATCCTCCCTGGCCCTCACCGCCCTGAGCAGAGCAGGGCAGAGCCACAGCTTGGGCTCGTCTGCCATATGTCGGGATCACATCTGCAGCGCAGAGGTACTCGAGGTGCCCTGGGTGGCAGGGGCAGGCAATGTGACCTGGACTGTGCAGCCTCCACAGCTCTGCTCCCCTCCTTGTCCTCGCGTTGTGTTGCATCCCATTGCGCTTTGCATCGCAGTTCATGCAGGAAGCTGAGGGGTGCTGGGCATGGCTGGCTGCGGCTGTCTCCTCCCGGATCGAGGACCATTTGCTCTTTCTCTTTCAGCAGCAGCAGCTTCAGCACCTCTCCCACCACGCATCCCCCATCCCGCTGACACCCCACCCTTCCAGCATGCAGCCTTCTAGCCTGAGTGGGGTCAGCAGCACCTCGGGGCTCCTGGCCCTCTCGGGGGCATTGATGGCACAGTCTCAGCTGGCTGCCAAGGAGGACAGAGTGGCCCAGGATGGGGAGAACAGAGGTAAGGGGAAGAAGCGCAGCTGGATTAACCCTTCGAAGGCTGGCTGAGTCAGTGCTGGGCAGATGTCCCAGAGGTGCCTGGGCAGCACTGGGAGGGATCCTGCTGCCTGCTCTGCCTGTTTCCCAGGGCTCCTCAATGCCTGGCAGCTGCTCCCTGGGGCCAGGGGGAGCAGCAAGCACTGTGAATGACAGATCCAGCTAATTAAATATCTGCAGCCCTCAGAGGCTGGCTCTATTACTGACCAGGGGAACAACTGCCGTGCAGTGATGGCATGTGGCGGTGGGGGGGGCAGCTGCGTGTGCACCCCAGATGCTGGGCAGCAGGGCTCTGGGCCGTGTGTGTGCACACATGGGTCTTCCTGCTCCCTTGCGTATTTCCAGTGTGTGAGGGTCCCCCCTCCACGAGGTAGCTGGGAGGGTGTGAGATCCCCGCCACAGAGAAACCCTCTATTTACACCAGGGTTTACACCAGGTAAAGATCTGATGCCTGAAGCCAAGACTTTAAGGGAAAATACTGTTGCAAGCCCCTGGTAGAAATTGTGGGAGCCACAGGTCTGTGGCAAGGAATTTAGAAAGCAGAGCCTTAGTGAGTGTGTGGTGCCTTGTAAATAGCAGTAATTCCTCATCCTTATGGGTGCCTCCTCCTATCAGGATCACAAAGTGCTTTACAAACATCATCAATATTTAATCATCATTAAATCAGTGCTCTGAATGCTACTGGCAGGCCTGGGCCAAATTAATAACACCACCCAGCTTTGCTGGTGGCTTGTTGCTATTAAAGTGCTGCATGAAGGAGAAGCTGCTCTGAGCTCAAGTCACCTTCTGCAGAGCGCAGGCATCAGGTGTTTTTGCTGACAGGAAGACTGAGGCACGGACAGAGGGCTCTTGGGCAGCAGGGCAGCTCTATGGGCTAGAAACAGGCAGTAAAATTCAGCAGCCGTAGTGAACTCCTCTGCAGACTCCTCTGGGGAAGGTGCTGGCTGCTCCCAGTGTCCCCAGTTCAGGGCCTGGAAATGCTGCAGGGACAGGACCCAACAGTAACAGCAAAACTGGGCAATGGAGGGGTTTGTTGCATTTTCCTAATGATCTGATTTTGCTTGTAAGATTTCAAGGTGGTGAAAATAGCAGCAGGAAACTGTCCGAGTCTGCTTTGCACCCCTGTACGCAGGTGTCTGTGGTTTTAATTCTGTCAGTGTTTCTTTAAGGATGGCCTTCCCCCGAAGGAGAAAAACAAACTCCAGAAAGAAGATAAAAGCAGGCTGTGCTGTGCCTGCCTTAACCCTTAGAGACCCGGGCAGCCTGTGCTTCCAGCAGCAGCTCCTGCCGTGCACAGCCCAGAGCTGCTCCTTGGCAGGGGCATCCAGCCATGGCAGAGGGCGCAAAGACACCCAGAATAATTCCTTTAAAAAAAAAATTGTGAAATGCTATATATGGTTTGGGTTAATCCCTGGGGCTCTGCCATAGTTAGCCAGAGCTGGTGTGGATCAAGCTGAGCCAGGGCTGAAGTGCTGATGGCAGGCACCCAGTCCCTCTCCCTCCCCTTTCCCTGGCTTTGTACTGACCATAGCCTTGGAGCAGCTACCCACATGGAGTCCCTCATCTCCTGATACCCGCCTGCCTCCTTTTGCCAGCAGAGACTGGGACGAGCTTGTTCTCCCCAAATGCTGATGTGATCGTTAGGAGTGAAAATCAGCCAAGGAGGGTTGCTAGACCCCAGCCCATAACCCCATGCTTAGATTTGTAGCAAATGCCTGGCACTTATTCCCTGAGCCCAGGGAGGTGGACCTGTTCTGTTGCACATGTAAAAAAGCCTTGGAGGGTTTCCAAGCAGGGCTTTTTAGCATGGCTTCCTAAGGAAATAGGATGGGTGTGATTCAGGAGGTCTCAGCTGTCCGGCTGGCTCATCCCCTCCTGGCAGCCTTGGACCTGTCACCACATCCAGGGAAGAGATTCCAAAGCTGGAGTGAATTTCTTGAAAGTAGGTGGGTGGATAGAGCAATTCCCCCTGCTTCCCTGAGGAAGACCGATGTGCTCACCTCCTATTAGACATCAGAGAATCCACACTGCAGATGGGCAATTCGGTGTGATTTTTCAGCCCATGTCCCGCTCTCTCCTCCCATGTTGCCCTGCAGTGCCCCCCTTTCCTCCCTACCCGGGTACTTGGGGCACAGCCTCTGCATTAACAGCCTCTTTTTCTCCTCCCCTCTGCCTCACTGACATGGACCTGCCTGGACGCTCTCCCTGCTGCTGCCTGGGCTCCAGAGCGCACGCCGAGCCGGGTAAGTCATGCCGGCATGCCTGGCTCTGGCTGGGCCGGTGGCCTCAACTGGCCTCAATGCGTGGGCAAGTGGACAGGCTTTCCTTCCACCAGGCTCTGTCCGGCAGCCTGCCAGCCCCCAGAGTCACTTCGAGCATCTCCAGCATGCTCCAGGCAGAAGGCAGAGCTGGCTGCCGGCTCCTGGGAAGGGCTGCGGGTGCTGGGGGAGCCCAGCTGTGGGGAGGGCACCCCGGGGGCAGTGGTGGGCTTAGCTTTGGGGCAGCCTGATGTTCAGAGCTGGGGCTGGCAGCGCAGGCAGGCACAGGGGCTGTGTCTTCTGCAGGCGCTGCAGCCAGCTCCCTTGGCAAGCACTCACAGTAGGATTTCCAGGAATGTTTTGTTTCCTGACCTTTTCAAAGCAAACAGCCCAGAGGTAGCCAAGCTGTCCTCTGTCTGGTGGCAGCCTGCGAGGCTGCGCTCCAGCACAAGGGGAGGCAGCAGCAGGTACTGGGGTTTCGTTCGCACGTGGCGCCAGGTTGGGGTGCGGGGCTTCTTGGGGAGGGGAGGCAGCTCTGCGGGCAGAGCAGGTCCATGTTGTTCCCTTGTACACCACAGCCCAGGCACCCTGCTCTCCTTCTGCTGTGGGCTCTGGGTCTCCCATACATTTCTCCCTATGTGTGGGCTCCTTTCCTCCCCTTCCCTCCCCAGCTTGGTGGATAAGGACAGGGGACATCTCCCCCTGCCACAGTGAGTCACCTTTCAAGGCTTTCTGTGTTTGCACACAAGGTGACTAGGGTGAAAGGCTCCCAGGACTGGCCTTCCCCTGGGTACTGATTTTGCAAGGGCTCAGCATGGCAAGAAGGTAAGGGCAAGCCACAAAGCTTGGGGCAGCTCTGCCCTCTCCCGCAGGCAGCGCAGGTGTCCTCATGAGGCTGGGCCAAGTCTCTGGATCTGAGGAATTTTGGAGTCATCCCTATTTCTCAGTGGAGCTGATTTCCCCAAGGGCTATAAAGAGCGTCCTTCCAGGCCAGCCTAACGAAGGGGGCCTTGACCCATGTCCAGCTGTGCATTCCCACCCTTGTTTATCCAGGGCAAAGTGTCCAGCCCTTCTGCTGTCACGCCTGAGCAGGGCCCAGCACTTCTGCCCTGGCTCCTGGGGCAGCCCAGTCCCTCTGGCGAACTGCACGTGCAAACCCAGCTTGAGCCCCAGGGGTGTGAATGCACAGGCTCCAGGCCTGCTCCTGCACCTAAGCTGACATCTGCTCCACTGACACATGCATGGTGGAGGCAGTGCTGAAATGCAGCCATGTCTAGGGCGGAACAGAGCCGTGTTTGAACTCCATGGTACTGCAGACTGGAGAGTAAATCCAGCTGCAGTATGGAGGGTAGGAGCAGCCAAGTGGCGAATATGTGCGCGTAAGGTTGTAGGGGAGTCCAGGAGAACAGCTGAGCAGAGAATATAAGACAAAGGGGCTCTGCTTATTGTAGCCTCCGTTCCCTTTGCTTTGCTGGCTTGGATGGGCTGTGTTTGCATCAGGGTTTTGTAGCGGAAGGTTCTGGGCCACCTCAATTCAGTCTTTGCTGATGCAAGGATCTGAAGGTCGAGGGCTGCTCCCGAAATAACCAGCTCTATCCTTTTCAAGGAGTTTCCAGTTTAGGAAACAGGCTGAACAGATCTCCTTACCTAAGCCCAGTGCTGCCAGCCCCTCTGCAACCTTTGGCTGCACCCTCCCTTTTAAGATACCCCCCCAGCCTGTCATGATTCCCAGGTTTGTGACTCCCTTCCCAGGCTCCATGGCTGCAGTAAGCCAGAGCTCCAGCTCCTGGTACAGGCAGGGGAAGGAAGGGTTAACGAGCCCCTCCATTGGGGAGCAATTGGCATTGATCTTCATAGGCTTGCAGTCATGTGGGAGAGGAGGAGGGAGAGATGGTAGCTGTGTTGTGCAGGATGGATCACCCCTGTGATCCCATGTATACCTGGGTACCTCCTCCAGATATCACCCAGGGGACAGGGAGCATCCTTTCTGCTCCATGGTTGTATGTGTCGAGGCTCTTAATCCTACTGTGCTGGAAACAATCGACCATGTGAGAGCCCTGGGATGGGGCATTTTCTCCCTGAGCCCTGGCACAAACAGCTCTGCAGAACAGTCCTGGGAAGGTTGGGGAGCCGTGCCCCAGAAACTGCCCTGGCCCAAGCACCCCGGCTGCTCTGGGAGGGAGGGCAGCCTCTCCGGTAACTGGTGTCAGCTTGGTGTTTCTCTGGTTTGCATGAGAGCCAGGGGGCTGCGGGTGGGCAGGCACCACTTGATTGCATTATCATCCTCCGAGCAGCAAGCATGGGGGACAGAAGGGGATTTGAGACACCCCTGTGGCTGCTGGCAGCATCTCAGGGAAGGGGCGTTTGTCCTGCTCGGCCCCATCCTGCTTCTCAGCCCGCTGGCTCCTGCAGCGGCAGGGTTAAGGTGAAGTAAACACGTCTCCGATGGGGATTTTCCACTCTGCCATGCCTTGTTATCTCCCGAAGGGGCGGATCTGCTCTCCAGCCGTGCTGGGGATGCTGCCTCACTCAGCTCCTGGCTCCACGCAGCCCTGCATGCCAGTGGCTGGGCCAGGGCATGGCTGCAACTCCTCATCTTCCCCCATCCCTGTCACAGCAGGGCTCATCTGCCAGCTGGGGCTGTTGCCCTCTTGCCCCGTTGCCCACCCCTCTGCTCTGGCAAGGAAGGGGAGCCTGTGGCTTTCAGGTTTTGGGCAGGGCTTTGTTCTCTCCCTCTTCCTTCTGCCCACCAGCCAGGGAGATGCTTTGCCAGGGTGGAGGCCATGATGGACTGATGGACCAGCCATGCTCTCCCTGGGGAGGGGCTGGGGCCTGGGGCGTGGCCCAGTTTGAGAGGTGAGGGGTGGGCAGGGGAAGGGGTGAGGGCAGCTCACTTTGGAGTTGTTCTGGGGCCAAGCTGGGAAAGGGAGGTGATGGTGTGTTGGGGCTGCATGTGGGTGAGTCTCTGAGCACCCTAAAAATGCATCTGCCTTCTGCCCACGCCAGGAGACTGTGGGCAGCCAACCCCCAGGGAAGGTCCCCATCCTGCTTCCCTTCTCTCTGCCCTGTCAGAGCTGAATGGATTAATTTGGGCTAGAACTCAGGAGTCTGGAAACATCTTCCCCAGCCTTGCTTAAAGTGCCAGACTAAGCCCCATCCCTGCCCCCAGGTACATTTGGATCTTAGAGGACTCTTGACCAAGGGTGCACGGGATGCCAGTAAAGGGATGCCACAATTATCTGTGCAGAGGGGGAGAGTAGTGCCTCCCCCTTTAGCCCTAACACCTGCTTGGTGGGGGAAGGGGACCCCTGCCCCCCAAACCAGCTGTGGCACAGGTTGCACAGATAGCTGGTTGGATGCTGGACACCAGCTGGGTGCAGCCAGCAGCACTGGGGGGTCTCTTCCAGAGAAGAAACGTGGCTGGCAGGGCTTTGCGGGCTGTCTGCTCTCCTGTCAGCTCACATGCGTTACTCTCCCCCTCTCTGGCTCAGAGCATTTCTACTTCCCCTCCCGAGAGCCTGCAGGATGAGGAGCGGACAGGAGGCATGGGGCTGAAGCGGAAACGGGAGGAGAAGGACCTGCCTGGGCATTATGTGAGTGCACCAAAGAGTGTGGCTGTGGGAGACAGGCCTGGGCCCTGGAGGTGTCCTGTGTCTGTGCCTGCCCTGGGTGCAGAGGGCTGTAATCCTGCAAAAAGAAATGAACAAAATGAAGAGCCCCGGGGAGGCCCCTCAGCCAAGAGGGTTGAGTCGCTGCCTGCAGGGCATGGTGGTGGTCCACGAGAAGTGATATGCAGGAGAAAATGGGGTCTTGCTGCTGGCTGGGGTCCTGTGGGGCAGAGCCCAGAGCTTGGTCCAGCCTCTCCCACTCCTGATTGAGCCTTTCTGGGTTTCTCCCCCCTTGCAGGATAGCGATGGGGACAAGAGCGACTACAACCTTGTGGTGGATGAGGTAAGCCCACACCCTTAAGGGCATGCTGAAGCCTTGCAGGGTATCCAGCTCAAGCTGTAGTCATCAGGTTTAGGACCCTGGTTCTCGAGCTTTGGGGTTTGTTAGGCTCCGGGTCATTGCTGCTGGGCAGGAGCGGCCAGCCTAGGACATGTGCCAGCCCTGCCCTGATGTGTTCATGCCAGCCAAGGCTGACTCCGACTCTGTGCTCCACGTTGGAGGCTGTACCAGCCAGGGCTCAGCTTTGCCAGCCGTAGACTTGGCTCTGCTTCACAATCCCGTTTCAGCCCCTCTCCTGTAGCATCCCATATGGGGAGGCTGATAAGCTGGGATGAGAGCCGCAGAGAGCTGGGCTTGCTGCTGGCAGCTCACACGTGTGGAGGTGGCAGGAGCAGGCAGACATGCTGTGCTGCCTTTGGCAGGAGAGCTCAACAGTGCACCCCTGACGCAGCCCGGCCCTGCCAGCCCCCATCCGGGCAGTCATATACGGTGCCTGGCCTTAGAGCAGCCTTGACTTTAAGACACTGAGCCCGTGTCCGTGCCTCAGTGCAGGAGGTACACTGAATTTCAGTCTCTTGCAACCAAACTGCCAGGCATTTCTGGTACAACCTTCCCTGACCACCAAGGCAGATACAACAGTACTTTATCCCAGCCCCAGCTATTCTTGGCAGACATGGTGTTTTCGGGGACATCCCTTTTCCTTCCCTGGAAGACTGGGGGGAGGGACAACACGTGATTTTTTTTTTTTTTCCTCCTGCAACCTTCCCTGACCACCAAGGCAGATACAACAGTACTTTATCCCAGCCCCAGCTATTCTTGGCAGACATGGTGTTTTCGGGGACATCCCTTTTCCTTCCCTGGAAGACTGGGGGGAGGGACAACACGTGATTTTTTTTTTTTTTTTCCTCCTGCCACTTCCCAAGAAAATACAAGCCCTGAAAGGAACATCAGCAGGGATTTCTGCAGAAAAAGACACTTATAAAAACTGCTGTCGGTGTAATTATGGTGATAAAAATCGCAGCCCTAATTGAATGGTTATAGGAGTGCAAGAGCTGATGGGTGGCCTTGGCTCTGAAATGCTGTCAAGGGGCTGCCAAGAGGCTCTTTCTCAGTTCCTTGGGTGTGCTGGTCGCCATACCTACTTGTGAAGGCATCCGTGGCCACCAGTGTCCTCTGAATCTGCTGTCACCACTAATTTTGTTCAAAGAGAAAAATCAAGGAGGTTTCTCATTCAGGGGACCGTGGAGCAGGGCTGAGGCCTCTAAGCGGATGCTCCTCGTTAATGCTGCTCAGGCAGACATGGGACAGTGAGTGGCTGGATGAGCAGCTTGCGCAGCAGGCAGGGGGAGCAGATGGAGGCTTGATGGTCCCTGCTGGGCTCCAGGCCCGGGGCTGGCTCTCTGGGGCCCCTGTCGTGCCTGCCCTCCTGCACAGAGGGACTGGGGTTCCCACTCCTCAGAGACCTCTTTTTCCCCCAGGACCCCCCCTCGGAGCCCAGCAGCCCTGGCCACGCACCCAGCAGCCGGCTCCCGCCAGCCCGCCGTGAGATGACTGAGAGCCCTGCCTCCATCAACTCTAGCCGGAGCACGACGCCCCTCAAGCCGAAGGACCAGAGTCTGGTAGGGAGGCAGCCCGGGGCCATGGGTGGGCAGTGGGGCTGGGGACATGGCCCCAGATTTCTCTGTGGCCCGTCTACTGCCGCCCAAAGGTGGGCAAGGAGATGCCAGTGCTGAGTGTTTGGTACCCACCGCTGGACTCCCCAACACTGGGAGCAGAGGTCCATGCCCTCGGAGGGAGGCTAATCATCTGCTAGGCAGAGGCCTGGCTCTGCAGGTATTTTCCATCTGGCTGCCTTCAGGATTACCCAGAGCTGCTCATAGAAATCAATTTTTCTTTTTTTTTTTTTTTTTCCCCCCCCCCTCCTCCTTGCCAAGCACCAGCCCAATGCTCAGATTGAAACATCAGCATGCAGGAAGGGGAAGGGATGTTTCTACCACTCCTTGGCCCTCCCAGCCACCACAGGGACTGAAGCGATGCATCCCCGCCATCCTGGGGTCAGGAGCCGGCTGGGTGCCGCAGGGAGCAACAAGCGGTGGCTCCCCAGCACAATCGGATTAGAGCAGACAAAGCGCCCTGAGCAATCTGCCAGCGCAGCATGTAGCTTTTCTCTGTTATTAATTTTTTTTCCTTTGCTGGTGTCGACAAAATCCCCAGGCAGAAAAAGAGGAAGAAATAGGAGAGGCAAGAAAAAAGAATGAAACAGCTGTGGGGATTGAAGATCATCCCAGGCATCCTCCTGGTCCTGCTCTGCACAGGCTGGGGACGGGGGTGCCCCCCGCACAAGAGGATTTCACACAAGGGAGCAGCAAATCTCTGTGTGACGGCCCCACGGGGCCTTGTGCCAGTGGCAGGATGCTGCAGGGGTGCAGGATTGTGCCAGTTTGGAGTGATGCAGGGCTTGCATTGGGCATTTGCACCCGGGGAAGGGAGTGGAGACATGTGGCTCCTTCCACGCTGTGGGAAGGGTGTGAGGGGCAAAGGAGGAAAGGAGCAGGGTTTGGGCCCAGGGCGGCCGAGTCTCTGTCCAGGTCTGTCTGGGAGCGGTGCCTCTTGGTGCCCCCCTCCTGTCCTGGGTGGTTCGAGGCTGTTGGCAGGCCTGCGGCACTGGGGATCGCTCTCCCAGGCCGTGGTCCTGCCGCTGAGGCTGCTCTTCCCTCTGCCGTGCAGACTGACCCTCCAGCCAGTGCTCCCGCCTCCAAGCCCTCTGCTTCTTCGCCGCCCCATGAATCCCTCACACCCGGCCCCGGGCCCAGCTCGGCCACCCTGCTCCGGCAGCCCCCTGCCAAGGCACCTGCCACCGACACCATCAGTGAGTGTTCGGGGATGGTGGGGGGATGTCGTGCTCTGCTGCAGATGGTGCCGTGGGGCTGGGGTGAGGGGAGGCAGAACACTCTCTCCTGTCAGTAGAGCTGGGGCATCCATTTTGCTCCACGTAATCAAACATGTTGACCACGGCCAATGTGTGCACCTATGTGCAATTACCACATACCTGACTGCCAACGCTTTCCTGGCAGGCTCAGACCCACTGGAAGTGGTGTGTCAATGTGCGGAGCTCTTTGCTATGGGTGTTCGGGGTGGGGCAGGTGTTTTGTCTGGAGATCGTAGTTTTTCTCTGACAAGTTGTTATTTTAGTGTTGCTGTGTGAAGCCATATGCTTCAGGGCTTGGCTGCTGGGGTAGGAGGGTTGGCCGAGTGCCACCATAGGCACACAGGGATGCAGGAGGCCAGGACATGGCTGGTCTCCCTGTGCAGCTGAGGATCTCCATAGGGGTGAGGGTCTGCATGTGCTGGGTGCTGCAGAGACCCTGGGCAAGATCCAGCTGACCCAGGAGCCCCTGTCAATGGCTACCACCTTCTTCTGAAAGCACAGGGGAGGGGGGTGAGTGCACAGTAGTGGCCTCTGTGGTGGCTGATGGTGAACTGGTCATGCCCCCTTTTCCTGCCTCAGTTTCCTTGAAGACATTTAGGGAAGCCTTGGGAAGAGGTCTCTGGAACAGCTTGGCCACTGTCTAGCCAAAGGGACCAGAAGGTGATGGGAGGAGGACAGCTAGCCTAGGGGAGAAGTAGAGCCAGGACTGGAGAAGTTAAACCCTTGTCTGGCTAGAAAATTACAGCGGTTTAGCAAAAATTGAATTGGAATCGATTTCAATAAACCATCAAAACCCTGGAGGTAGAGCCACTTAGCCATCAACTGCAAGTAATTTGGCCTGGCCAAGACTGAAAAGGCGTTGGCAGCAGAGATGAGGGTTGCTGTGGGTTAGCGGCTGGTCCGTGGTGCATCCTTTGGAGGGACGGAGCCATTTGATCTCCTGTGCTGGATCCACAGCAATCTTTGGCTCTTGATCCATAACCTGCCTGCCCTCCTCCTGATCCACTGGTTCATGCCAGGCTTGGCTGGGCCCGGTGCAGAGCTGATGCTGCCTCTTGTTGCCTGGCTTCTGCCAGATGCCCTTTTCCCTTGGGTGATGCTCGCTCACACCTGTCGACCAGGGCCAATGAGTGTGTCTTTCCTCATGCAGCTCTCCGCAGCCCGCTGAGCATGTCCAGCCCCTACACATCCTCCTTTGGGATGGTGCCTCATGCCACCCTCAGTGGGGAGCTCCCAGCCCCCAGCATGTACATGGGCATCCACCTCTCACCGCAGGTCAGCAGCGCCGTGATGTATGGCCGGTCCCCGATGGTAAGTCACCAAGGGATGGGCCCAATCTGCTGGCACGTGTTGGCTTTGCCTCCTGTCCCCTGCTGTCCTGGGCATGCACTGTCCCTGATGTGCAGTATCTGCACTGCTGCAATGAGCTTAAGCCAGGAGGGTGCAGCCACAGGAGGGGCCCCCTTCTGGAGGTGTCTGGGTTGTGGGGCCAGTGGAGGCTGCAGAGCTCACAGAGAAGCACCCACTGGTGTATAGCTGTGTCTTTGGGAGCCCGTTTTGGCCTTTGTCACTTGCATGTGGAGGAAGCAGCAAGCAGGGACCTTGTGCAGAGCCGGGCTGGCCCCGTCCCAGGGCATGCGGGAAAAGGCATGAGCCCAGCCTTTGTGTCCCCTCCTGGGGGTTTGGCACTTCACTCATCATGTGCCCTTTGCTTTGTGCAGGTGGCTTTTGAGTCGCACCCTCACCTGAGGGCTTCTACCATCTCATCTTCACTCTCCACCATCCCTGGAGGGAAACCGTAAGTGTGACCGCACACAGGGGCTGCAGGGAGGGTCGGCAGCAAGGGGCTGAGCCGGGCAGCATGGGGTGGGCGCAGGGGGAGATCTCCTTCTCCATGGCTCATTTCTACACCCAGCAGGTGTAGGGCAGGGCAGGGCCTGGCTGGAGTTTCTTTCCACTTCTGAGTCCAATGCTGTCATTTTGTTCCAGGCAGCTGGTGGTAACAAGGAGCTGGTTAATTATATCCCTCATTAGCCAGAGTGCACCGGACACCTTCCACCTGGCTCGAGCGTGGCTAATGGGAGAGGTTGGCTCCTGCACTCAGGCATCACACAGGGATTGTTCAGTCCTCTCTTCTGCTCCCTTCCAGTGCCTACTCCTTCCACGTCAGCGCCGACGGGCAGATGCAGCCGGTGCCTTTTCCACCCGATGCCCTCATCGGCTCCAGCATCCCCCGCCATGCACGGCAGCTCCACACCCTGACCCATGGTGAGGTGGTCTGCGCTGTCACCATCAGCAGCTCCACACAGCATGTCTACACTGGGGGCAAGGGCTGTGTGAAGGTGTGGGATGTGGGGCAGCCAGGCACCAAGACAGCCGTGGCTCAGCTGGACTGCTTGGTAAGGAGGAGGAACAGAAAGGCATTTTGTGGGGGCTGGGAAGAGGAATGTGTCCCTGTTACAATGGAGGGGGACAGAGGGTCCTTTCATGTCTGTCATGAAAAAAAGGAGATCTGTCTCCCACCCACCCCACCCCCCTCCCCCAATGGACTGATCAGCTCCTTCTTCACTTGCCCCGTTTGCTGTAATCCCAATTCAGAACCGTGACAACTACATCCGCTCCTGCAAGCTGCTCCCCGATGGCCGGAGCCTGATTGTGGGGGGGGAGGCCAGCACCCTCTCCATCTGGGACCTGGCGGCCCCCACACCCCGCATCAAGGCTGAGCTCACCTCCTCTGCCCCCGCTTGCTACGCCCTGGCCATCAGCCCTGACCCCAAAGTCTGCTTCTCCTGCTGCAGTGACGGCAACATCGTGGTGTGGGACCTGCAGAACCAGACCATGGTGAGGTGAGCCCGGGGCTGGTGGCACATGGCCAGAACCTGGGGAAGCTGGCTCTTAGGGAGCTGGCAGCCCTGATGGCCGTGCCCTCGCCCTCTCTGTCCCCCTCTTTCCCAGGCAGTTTCAAGGCCACACAGATGGTGCCAGCTGCATCGACATCTCTAACTACGGCACCAAGCTGTGGACAGGGGGGCTGGACAACACAGTGCGGTGCTGGGACCTGCGGGAGGGGCGTCAGCTGCAGCAGCATGACTTCAGCTCTCAGGTAGGGGCTGGGGCTGGCTTGGGAGCACCATGGGGCCCACCCACCAGGACCTGCCGTGCCGCTGCCTAACCCTGTGTCTCCCCCCAGATCTTCTCCCTGGGGTACTGCCCGACGGGAGAGTGGCTGGCAGTGGGCATGGAGAGCAGCAACGTGGAGATCCTGCACGTGACCAAACCAGACAAGTACCAGCTGCACCTCCATGAGAGCTGCGTCCTCTCCCTCAAATTCGCCTCCTGCGGTAGGCGAGCACCGTGTTTTCTGCTTGGGCTGTGTTGACTTTGGAACGGGGGTGGCTCCATGCAGCCCTAGATGGGTCTTTTTGGTTCCCCCCCCATGCTCACTTTGTCTCCTGCCCTAGGGAAATGGTTTGTGAGCACGGGGAAGGACAACCTGCTGAACGCCTGGCGGACGCCCTACGGAGCCAGCATCTTCCAGGTGCGGGGGAGGCATTTGGATGGGACAGGGATGAGGGCAGCTTCAGCCACCCATGCTGCCCTCACCACCTGCCTCTTTCACATTCAGTCTAAAGAGTCCTCGTCAGTGCTGAGCTGTGACATCTCTGTCAACGACAAATTCATCGTTACGGGCTCTGGCGACAAGAAGGCCACAGTGTACGAGGTGGTATACTGAGGCCCGGTCCGTCACCGTCCCTCATCCATCAGGGAAGGGCAAGGTCTTGTCCAAAGCTGCTGGGGCTGGCAGAGGCCTCCCGTGCTGGGTCAGTCATCCAGCAGCCCTGCTCTCCCTCCTCCTACTCCCGCAGCCCTGCTCTCCCTCTTCCTCCTCCTCTCCTTTTAGCTGCCAAAACAAGGCCAGGGCACCGGCCCTGCTCCCTGCCCGATGCGTCGCAAAGGTGAAAGGAAGAGCTGGAGGTGAGCGCTCATTGTGGCCTGGCATCCCCCCCAAGCTGGGCAGCAGGCAGGGGCTGGTCTAGGTCTCCTATGGCCTTTCTGTCCATCAGGGCTGGAGGCACAGGGAGCTGGAGGGCCAGCAGGGCAGCAAGGCGAGGCCAAGAGTGGCTGAGAGAGTGTTGTTCCTGAAATACTGCTACTGATTTAATGGCCCCCATTTTCTGCTGCAGAAACAGCTGTAAATTATCAGTAAAGAAATGTATTTAACTGTGTTTTCAATCCCTTACTAATAAAAAGGAACAAAAGAGGGGCTGGTCTGGTGGTGGGCTGCAGGACCGATGTAAACCCTTCCCTGGGGAGCTGACCACCACCCCCGGATCCCCTGAAATGGCACCTGCAGCTGTGCCCATGGAGCTGGGGGCTCAGCCCCCTCCCATGATGGTAGTTGGGGTGCAGGGCCCTGCAACAGCAGGGGGAAGAAGCAGGAGCTGCTCCCATCCCCCACCCCCTCGCAGGTACGGAGCGAGGGTCGCCTCAGCTGCGGCTTCCCCAGCCAGCGCTGCCCAGCTGGGCTCACTCCTGGGCAATGGCAAGGGCTGGGCTGTGAAATGTAGCTGGAGGGTCCAGGAGAGGCCCCTGCCCCCCTTCGGCCGGGAGCACGAGAGGCCTTCCTTCCATGGCAGAGCCACTCCTGCCCTGGCTGTCCGCCTGCCACAGCAGCCCCAGCTCCAGGCCAGGCTCCGGGCAGGAGCACATCACAGCTGCTGTGCTGCAGCTGGCAGCACCCTGCTTCCCTGCTAGCCCTCGCCATGGCCTCTGCTGGCAGGCTGCGCTCCAAGGCTCTCGGCAACAGCCCTGCTTCCCCCACGGCAGCTCTGGCAGGAAGCCAGACTGATAAGCCAGCGCCGACTGCTCACATCTCATTTCCTTTGAAAACCGCTTCCTCCAGCACTGGCCTCTCCCCCAGCCACCCTGCAGTGACAGAGGCTGCTCCAGGGATGCACAGCAGCAGCCCCTGCGTATCCTTCCCCTCACTGTCAGCAGTGCTCCGGCCCCGGGTTGCTCTGCACCACGCACAGGACCAATGCAGGGCTGAATGGAGACAGTGCAGGCAACACAGTCCTGCTGCTAGGCCCCACCACCCTACCTGCAGCAGAGAGTGGCAGCAAACCTGTCAAAACTGTCCCAATTCCGGAAAAGGAAAGGAGCAGCGAGCCACAGCAGCCAAAGGGGACAGTGGTACAGCCCCGGCTCCCCCAGTCTCACCCATCCTCACCTGGCTCCATCCTGCAGCCACAGAGCACCAAGGCTGCTGCCCAGGACAAGGCACAGCTATGCTTTTTTTGTTTGTTTTTATTATTAAATACACCCTAGGAGGCACAGAGGGAGATGAGGACAGAGCCCATTCTCCCAAGCCTGGCCCAGAGCCTCAACAAAAAAAAAAAAAAAAAACAAACCAAAAAAATCCAAAGCTAACAAAAAGTTAAAAAGAAAAACAAAACAAAAAACACCCTCCAAACCACCCCCCCAAACAAAAAACCCTAACAATGCCAGACCTCCCCCC